AGGCAAACAGATCTAGGCCAGTAGTGGCAAACCTATCATATGCATGTTATTGTTTTTCTTTTAAGACAAAAGATGTTAATGTATGAGTTGTTTTTTCTAAACTAAAACCTCAGTATTCAGTTTTAATTGCAGTGTTGGCACTTTGTGATAAATAAGTGGGTTTTGGGTTGCAGTTTGGGCGCTCTGTGGGGTTCGCCATCACGATCTAGGCCTTTCGTTATCTGTTGGCCGGTTTTAATCAAGGAATAGATTAAAAATGCTTAGAGCAGTTTCGTTCAGTGAGCCCTGGGCTGGAAGTTCCCACTAAGCCAGTCTCAGGTTCAGTGTTCCTTAGCGGGGCTCACAGGGCCCAGCACGTAGTCATACTCATGGGTATGATTCGACATGGCAGAAGGATATAATGCGAAATGGAGCAGAGGGAACAGGCAAAAGTAGAGGAGACCGAGTGTAAGGTTCCACGTGCCTCCCCCAGTAGAGTTGCAGGACTTCCAGAAAGGAGTTGTCACCACATGTGTGAAGTGTTCATTAGAGACTGAGCTCCCAGGGTGGTCCTGTAGGCAGCCTCTGCCTGTCTCGTCCCTAAACTCAAGACTCTCAGAAGGAAAGTAGGTGTTTGGCGTAAACCATACTCTTTGTAGCCATGCTTATCATTTCTTGGAATGCTGCAAAACCTTCCAAAACCAAGTTCTCAGATGTCTAAGCCTCTAAGCAGATTTTTTTAAGGAATAAGCATTGAGGCCTACCATATTTATCTATTTTTTTTTTTTTTTTCATTTTTTTCTGGTACTGGGACTCGAACTCATGACCTTGCACTTGCCAGGCAGGCACTATGCCGCTGAGCTAAATCCCCAGCCCCCATCAAAAGAAATTTTTTAAAGAAATAATATACTTTGGGCTTGTTCAGAGAATAAATATGGTAGGCCTCTGAAAAAAAAAAGAATCCATTTCGGGATGGGGATTTAGCTCAGCGGCACAGTGCCTGCCTGGCAAGTACAAGGTCGTGAGTTCGATTCCCAGTACTGGAAAGAAAA